CCAAAGAATTGGATTGAACAATTACAAGAAATATAAATTAAAAAAAAAAAAAAAAAAAACAGAGAAAAGAACAACAAACATTTCTTCTCCATCTACCCAGGTGCCCAGGGGTTTTGAGAACAAAGGACCCTGTGCTGGCGTGGACGTGGTCCAGAGCTGGCTCAGCCCTCGCCGGGACAGATGGGAGGCTCAGTGTTTCTGTGGGCAATTGGGTCATCCATTCAAAAAACCTCGAGTTGTGCATGATTCTGACTCCGAAATCCACATCTAGAAATGGATCTAAGGGTATGACAACATTCTGAAGAAATGAGGGGAAATACTGGGCAGAGTTTTAGCCCGAGAACATTCATGACAGCAGATTTAGGTTGCTGGGAGAAACAATTATTTGAAAAGTTGGCCCCATGGAAACTAGCTGTTCTCTCAAGGAGGATGATGAGCTCATTTCAGGGAGAGCATTTTCTTTAGGCAACAATGTGAGGAGCTTTATGGATGATTACAGGAGAAGCTACCACGGTACCTCTTTCAGAGATGGCTCAGACAGGAGAGAAATTAGGCAGAGAAGAGCTAAACCACAGCCAAGTAATGGGAAATGGGCGATGTCATCATCAAGCTTCATGGAGAGTTTTGGGCGGGAGGAGGCTGTGGAGGACACCTTGAGGACTCAGAAAGATGAAAGGGCTTGGACCAAATGCAGCCCAGCCACCTGCTGGCAGGACAGAGATGGCCCAAAGATCCCCTTTGCAAATGTGGTCAAGAAACCTATAAATGTATGCCAGGCGTGGTGGCTCACACTTACAATAACAGCACTGTGGGAGGATGAGGTAAGTGGATCACTTGAGCCCGGAGTCCAAGACCTGAACCAAAAAAAAGAGCCGGGCGTGGAGGCACACGCCTGTAGTCCCAGCAACTTGGGAGGCTGAGTGGGAGGTCACCTAAGCCTGCAGTGAGCCGTGACCATGCCACTGTACTCCAGCCTGGGTGACAGTGAGACCTTGTCTTATTTAAAAAAAAAAAAAAAAAAAAAGGAAAGAGAAAAAAAGAAAGTTACAAAAGTATGACATTCAATTTTAATGTGTTTTCCATGCTGGGCTAAGCAGTAGCCTTCTGTTCTGATTCAGTCAAAGTTAATTACACACGAGCCTGGAGTGGTCCAGAAAGCTGAGAGGAGGGAGACCAGCAAGAGGCTATGAAGTGAGAGCCAAGGGCTTTGGAGTGAGAAGGTGGGAGGGGTGATGGTTTTAACAGAATGTAAATACCTATGATCTAACATAACATGGTCTAACGAGAGCTGCAGACTTAGGGAGGAAGGAAACCAGTAACAGTTTTACAGCATCCCATGAATGTTTATGGCCTATAGGAAGAGGGCTGAAGACTTGGGAAGTGACAAGGCAGTGGGAAGATATTTTTGTGTAATCCTGGCTGATGCATTTGTAATTCCTGATGCTTCTCTGTTGCTACGGAGGAAGGATGGGGACCACCTGGGACAGGCATCACTGCTGTGCATTCTCTTTCAAATCTCACCCTGGTCTACAGAGCAAGGACAGGAAGGGTGCAGGGAACACCATCAGATGGACAAGGAGAGTCTCAGAGGCAGCCAAAGATGCTCTGAGGACACGTGCCAGACCTTTCCCTCTGAGTGCATCTGCCTACAACCAGACCTGAGGCCCCTAGGGTTGGGGGTGAGGGCAATGGGTGATAGGGTGATAGAATCCTCCAGAAAAGTTTGGGGGGCTGTGGGCAAAAGGGAGTAAGTCCGTGCCTCCTGACTGCAGACTCTGGAGGAAGTCACCTTGCAGTGTCCTGCTTCAAAGCTGGCGGCTGCAGCAGAGGGGACAAAGGCAGAAAGATAGGTCTAGGGAGGACAAGAAGTGTTGAGATGGCCACTCACGCCCCTGCCCACCCTGGTGTCTGGAAGATCCCGCCCCTGTCCCGCCCCCACAGAGCATACAAAGGGTGGCCATGAACCCTGATGACAGGCACGAGTTGGGTGGGGGTATCGCTCTGGTGACAGTCTCTTGTGCACCTGCAGGAGACCCCATCACAGAGTTCCCTACGGTTGGCCAGTGGGATTTGCAGCCAGCTCCAGGGCCAGCTGGTGATATGGGAAGGATTCAGGGCCAGCTCGATAGGGACGCCTTGCAGTGACAGCTCCCAGAGACCCCACAGCAGAGGCTGTGAGGCCAGACGCAGACACAAAGGAAGCCAGAGAAAGTGTCCACTGGGGACAACCCTGGGTGGGGCACCCACGGGGGAAGAGTGCTTTCATTTAACCAAAGGAGGCTGCATTCATGGGGCAGCTGCTGAGCCCAGCTGGAAGTGACTGAGTGACCTTGCCCCTCCTGCCCCAGCCAGGCCAGGTGTGTCCCACATCCCTGCAGTCCCGACATCCTGACAGTCCCACATCCCAACATTCCCAACATCCTGACAGTCCCAACATCCCAACATTCCCAACATCCCGACAGTCCCAACATTCCAACAGTCCCAACATCCCAACAGTCCCGACATCACAACAGTCCCGACATCCGACATCCCAAGAGTCCCGACATTCCAACAGTCCCAACATCCCAACAGTCCCAACATCCCAACAGACCCAACATTCCAATAGTCCCAACATCCCAACAGTCCCGACATCCTGACAGTCCTGACGTCTCAGCAGTCCCCAAATCCTGGCAGTCCCAACATTCCAACAGTGTCAATGTCCTGATAGTCCCGACATCCCAACAGCCCTAATGTCCTGATTGTCCACACCTTGTGTCCCTGTGACGTCTGCTCTCTGCACAGGAGCCTGATCAGTTCTCCAGAGCCTATTTTGACAATGTCTTTCCTCGGCTGAACCCGCCAGGGGGTTTCCAGCCCCTCTTGGAGTGGATGTCCTTCTGCGGCATCTCTGACCTCGCTTTCCCATTGCCTTTGCTCACTCGGCCCCGGCCAACCCTTCCTTGCCCTTCCTCCAGGAAGCAAGCCTCTGAGCTGCTGCATGGGCTGTTCCCCCCTGGCTGAACGCTGTTCCCCAGATACCCACATGGCTCACCCTTACCTCAAGTGCTTACCCAGTGTCCCCTTCTTAAGGAGGCCCACTCTGGCCCACCCTGTATTCAGCACCCCCGGCCCTGCCCGCACTCCCTCCCACCCCGTCCTTTGCTGCATTTTCCTGACATGCCACTCATGTCCCCTTCATGTTTATTCACGACGTTTACTGCCTCGCCCACCTCCGCCAACTAGAGTGAAAGCTCCAAGGACTTCCCAGGTGCCAGGAGCCATGCCCAGCATATCTGAGGCATTCCAGATACATCTGTGGAATGAATTGGAGGCGCTCCCAGAGGGGATGGGTTGGGGAAGCCTCACCTTCACATGAACTGTAGGGGACACCAGCTCAGATATTTCTCTCTGCATCCGGAATCTCAAGCCGGGGCAGGAGCCCGTCCCTCCCGACAGCAGCATGTGGCCGAAGAGGACATTCTGGAGGTCGGGGCTGCAGGAAGTGATGCTCTGGATGGCCATCGTGTGGATGCCAGGGGTGTCTCTCCCTGTCAGGACAGGCAGAGGGAGAAAGAATGTTGGAAGCCAGAGGCTCGGCAGCTGCGCACCTGGGCCCCTGCCTCCCAGCGGAAGGCCTTGGGTGCTGGAAACCTCCCTGAGCCTTAGCTAGCTCCCAGTGTGGCAGGCAAACCTTAGCTTAGCTGGACTCCCACCAGGGAATGCAGGGAGCCACCCGGCCAGACGACAGGACTCAGCTGCTCCTGGTTGAGGAAATACATAGCAATTCTCCGCTCTCCTCCAGGAGAATTTATATTCAACTGTTACTGACAGTTATTAATATGTAAAACTCTGGTATCAAGTGTATAAAAAGATTCCTGTCGAGGCAGCATCCTCCTTCTGGCAGCCTTTGAGAAATGACACTGATTCCTCCTTTCTTGGCTCATCATTTGGCCACATGAATAAACTCAAATATAATGGGAACCGCCCTGAAGAGATGTGTGCCTTGTATTACTAGGTTGGTGCAAATGTAATCGATTATTTTTGCACCAACCTGATATTTTCTGTTCAATATTGCGAGCCCCTGGGAGGGCTAGGTGGTGCCGTCCATGCCTCATGTCCCTTGCCTGGGAGGAAAAGCTGCCGAATAACCTTGGACCCATGAAAAAAGACTAATCTCAGGGGGCATTTAAGAGGGGCCCGGCAGGAAGGCCCTGCTAGCTTCACCGTTCTGGGGTGGTGCTCCCGTTCATGGGGACCCAGCCAGACCCCGGGGAGAACCTCCCCACGGTGGGTGAAGAATCTCAATTGCTTCTCCACGTCACATTGGTGGGGCACGTGACCACGCCATCCCCTGCACAGTCTAACAGGGGAACACAGAGACAAACCAACTAACTTACAGGGGATTCTAAGTGCCAGGTACTCACTGGGTCCTCATCCCGGGGAAATGGTTACTCCCCCACCTTTAATTCCCCTTTGTCCTTTATGAAGGTAACGAAGAATTGGACTCTGGGGAACACGTGCTTTTCCATGTCGACCCGGGAGATTCCATCTTTCCCATCAGTAGGGATTTCACCCTCCATCATTTTTGCCGTTCCACCAGGACAAATGTACTGGCCGGAGCATTTAGGCAGCTCCATGCTCACTCAAAGTCTCTAGATCAGCCACATTTGTAAAAAGCTCCCTCCAAATCCAGGGTGATTACATGTCTGTCTTAAATTGTCTTGATTTTTATATTTCAGATTATTTTGTAAGTAGGCAGAATATAAATAGTACATTATTAAAGAGAAGGCCTCTTCAGTGAGTTTCCTTCTCTGTAAATTGGGATAATTTTACAGAGGCAGATTTGGGGGTAGATTCAAGGATATAACACATGCAATGGTCAGCGAAGCGACAGGCAGACTGTAAGTGTTAGCTGGAGTCGGAGGAGCTTTTGAAACAATGTGCTTGTTTGCTACTCAAACCAGACTCCCTCCTGGCAGCCCTAGTTCCTTCCTTCTTTCCTTCCTTCCTTCCTTCCTTCTTCCTTCCTTCCTTCCTTCCTCCCTTCCTCCCTCCCTCCCTTCTTTCTTTTCTTTCTTTCTTTTTTCAGATGGAGTCTCACTCTGTCACCCAGGCTGGAGTGCAGCGGTGTGATCTCAGCCCACTGCAACCCCCACCTCCAGGTTCAAGCAATTCCCCTGCCTCAGCCTCCAGAGTAGCTGGGACTACAGGCAATGGGCCACCCTGCCTGGCTAATTTTTGTATTTTCAGTAGAGATGGGGTTTCACCATGTTGGCCAGGCTTGTTTCAAACTCCTGAGCTCAGGTGATCCACCCACCTCAGCTTCCCAAAGTGCTGGGATTACAGGCGTGAGCCACCACGCCCAGCCCCTTCTTTCTTACAGGGTGCTCACTTGCTCATGTCCAGGCTGATTTCTAAATGACACTGGATTTAGCGGATTCACCTATGAGTTTTGTCTGGAAGAGCGCCTCGGGGCAGAAGAAGCTCTCCTGCCCAACGGTGATCTCTTGGCCGTCAGGCAGCTGATATTTCTGATGGTGGGAAGGTGAATAGGTTTTCTTCTTTTCCTTGTCAAAGTCCAAAGCCACATAGCAGCATTTCTCCTTCATGTCCCGGATGTACTCTCGATCCCCTGTGGGACAAAGGAAAAGTGCCAAACAGAAAAAGGCACGAAAAGGAGATGAGTTCACAGAAGCGCCTTTGGTGAGGTTGAGGCTGCACCACTGGAGCTGCCATTTCCATTTCCATCTCACCCCCCAGGTGCTCTTGTTCGTGCCGCGCATTGAGCCTGAGTTTGTGGAAGTGTAGAATAAGTATGTCTTGAACTAAGATGAAAGGGGTTAGGAAATTTCAGCTTTTGAGAAGTTGAGATCCTTCTATATATGGTGTATGTTTGGGAGAGGGTGGGAGGAGCTGGAAAACCAAACCCAACTTTCTTATCTACTGCTATGAGTGGTGCTGTTGGTGCCCCATCCCCCAGCTGCCACCTGCTCACCGTTGCCACCTGCTCACAGCTGCCCTCTTCTTATCTGGAGAACTGCCCACAGTGGAACAAAGTCCGCACCCAGAAATATCTGGAAGCTTACATACATTCCTTCTCTTTTTGGATGGCAAACAACAGGTTTTAAACCCAGCTGCGTCTTCTTGTGTTACGGTTTTATGCTTTGTCTATCACTGCTTTTGAGTTGGATCAGGGGAACTCTGCACCACCCACCTGGAATGTCACTTGCTCTTCAGACCCCTGATATCTGCCTTCTACCTTCACTCGCTCTACCTAACCTGCTCTTGCCTGGGTCTGTTCTGTACTCCTAGGTCTGAAAACCTGAGGACACGCTTTGATTCTTTCCTGCCCTCTTTTCCTCGGCAGCTGAGGCTGTTAATAACTCCCTTCTCTTTCCTCAGCTCCTGGGATGCTGCACTCTCCTAATATATGTTCCTTTCTTCATGTAGTTGGGGCTTTGGTGAGGCAAATTTGGGTTCGAATCCCATCTCTGCCATTGACCCAACGCCTGGCTTTAGGCAACTTCATCAACCTCTTAAACCTTCCCTTTCCTTATCTGCAAGAATGGGATTAATGGTCACTCGCAGGACTGTTGGAAGGACGAGAGGCAACGATGCTCACCAAGAGCTCACCAAGTGTGAGGCGTCAATAACATGGTATGACTTTGCCCTGCAATCCTTCTCACTTTCCCTCTAACTGCTGTTATTCTTTAGGGTTCCATGCTTTGCATCGCTTTTGACACAGACCTCTTGGTCCGCAAGGAAGACCCTGAGATGCAGGATTGTAGGCTCACTGGGAGTGGGTGTCATGCAGGTTATACAGGCTGGGAATCTAGTCCAGGAACTGGTGCAGAGAGGGACAGACACCTTGCGTGGAGCCTTGGGTTCATATCCCAGCTGCTATGCCATTTATCATTTAGGGAGTGTTGGGCAAATCTTCTAATAACCTTCCTAAGCCTCTTCCTATTTTTTTTTTAAGAGACAAGGTGTTGCTTTACTCTGTTACTCAGGCTGGCATGCAGTAGTGCCATCATAGCTCACTATAACCTCTAACTTCCGGGTTCAAGTAGTCCTCTTGCCTCAGCCTCCTAAGTAGCTGGGACTACAGGTTGCTTATCACCACACCCTGCTAATTTTTTAATTTTTGTGTAGAGACTGGGTCTTGCCATGTTGCCCAGGCTGATCGCAAACTCCTAGACTCAAGTGGTCCTCCCACGCCAGCCTCCCAGATTGCTGGGATTACGGACATGAAACTTGTACCCAGCTGCATTGTCCTCTTCTAATGGAAATCATTGTTCCCTCTCATGGGGTTACAGTGAGAAGCAATGAGAAAATGCATGTAAAATGTTTACTTGGCCCAGTGCTTTGCACAGGATAAATTCTGTATAAAGCTTAGCTCACCATCATCATAACAATTGCCAATCATAACTATCATCACCATCACCATCATTACTACCACCACCATCATCACAATCATTGGTACCATTACTATCACCGTCATCATCACCATCACCGTCATCGTCACCATCATCACCACCATCATCATCGCCATCACCACCAATCACTATATGACCATCACCATCATCACCATCGCCACCATCACCATTATCACCATCAATCACCATATGACCATCACCATCACCATCATCAGCATCACCATCATCACCATCACTATCACCATCATCACCACCACCATAATCATTTTCATCATTATCATTGCCCTTATCATCATCATCAATCCACTAAATGTCCCTAAATATAGATAAGGTTGTTTTTTAGAACTTCAATGATGGTCATGAAGTCTTAGCTTTACATACTGAGGGCCATAGGATGAGCTAGCAAAGAAGGCTATTACACCCCCAGAGACTAGTTTACCCAGCCAAGAATAGCAGTTTCCTACCTGTGCCCAACAATAATTGCCCATTGTCTTTCAACAGTTGCAGGAGGTGCAAGGTTAGGTCCTGGCCCGCTATGTCCAGCTGGAAGGTTGACAGACGCAAAGGGCAGCCATCAGCGATGGGCACAAAGTGTGTCATTCCTTCTCCAGATTCAACAGTCAAGCCTAGACAAGAGAACATGCTGGCATCATAATGAAGGGCCAATGACATCCCTTATAATTGTTGTATCTGCAGGGAGAGAAGGCAGAGGGGAGCTAATGGAGGAGAAGACAAAGATTCTCAGGAGCCAGCTTTCTTCCCCCAAAGGGAAGTGCCCAAGGAGGAAGAAAAGGACTGGCTGTTTTGGACGGCAGCCCACAAGTTTTCTTATGACACCACATAGGCAGGTTTCACAGTAGTGGTCCAAAAGGTAAAAGAGGAAAAATTATACCAGGATTTTTTTCCTTTTATTGTTTTAATTGACAAATAATACTTGTACAGTGTTTGTACTGTACACAAATAGTAGCTTTTTTTTTTTTTTTTTTTTTCCCTGAGACAGAGTCTCGCTCTGTCGCCCAGGCTGGAGTGCAGTGGTGTGATCTCGGCTCACTGCAAGCTCCGCCTCCCGGGTTCACGCCATTCTCCTGCCTCAGCCTCCCGAGTAGCTGGGACTACAGGTGCCCGCCACCACGCCCGGCTAATTTTTTGTATTTTTAGTAGAGACGGGGTTTCACCGTGTTAGCCAGGATGGTCTCGATCTTCTGACCTCGTGATCCATCTGCCTCGGCCTCCCGAAGTGCTGGGATTACAGGCGTGAGCCACCGCGCCTGGCCCATAGCAGCTTTATTTACAATAGCCCCAAACTGACTACTCAAATATTCATTCACAAGTGGATAAAGTACAATGTATTCATATGATGGGCTACTATCCAGCAATGGGAAGACATGAACTCTCAACCCACACACAAGGATAAATCTTCAAGTAATTATGCTGCGTGGAAAAAAAAAAAAAAGAATCCCAAAAAAGAGTGCTGCCCTCCCGGTCCATTCACACAAAATTCTAAAAAATGCAAACCCCAAGGCAGCTGGTGGCTGTCTGGGGACAGACTGGAGGGGCAGAGTGTGTGGTGCCAGGGAAGGGATTGGGGTGACAGATACGTTCATTATCTGGTTCTGAAGGCTTCAAGACTGGAGCCATGTGTCAAAACTTAGCAAATTAAAAAAACTTTAAACATGTGCAGTTTATTGTAGATCAATTACACCTCAAGAAAGCTATTAAGAAAAAAAAGTGAGCAAACTGTTAAAACCTGGGAGTGAATCGTTTAACCAGGAGGGATGAAAGGGGCTGGAGAGCGCAAGCTGTGTGGGTCTTTGTTTTTCATTACTGGTCAGGGAGAGTGGGCTGTGCACAGTGGTGAGCGTCTCAGCCAGAGGGATGGGGAGGGTGTGGGGGGCTCCCACAGGGCCACTCACCAGAGGTCTGGCCAGAGGCGTACAGAGAAAGGACTCCTTGGTTAGCTAAATACAGGGCAGGTATGTTGAAAGTCTCAAACAGCACCTAGGGAGAAACATCAGCCACCCCTGGCAGCCAGGCCCACAGATGAGGAGGAGGTGGGCTTCTCCTTAACTACTCAGGCAACATGAGTCCCGCCTGCAAGAGGCACTTGGTTCCCCACACCACCCAAGAGACAGCCAGACCACGGGCACAGAAACACGTTCCTCCTTATCCCAGCTTTGCTCCAATGAGCTCCGGGACACTCAGTTTCCCAGTCTGTAAAATGGGCTCACATCCATCCCAGACATCTCTTAGGACTGTGGGGAGACTTGGATTAGATGGTGGACTCCCTACGGATGGGCTCCTGGGCATAGGGGCTGTCCGTTGATGTCTGGTATCTGGCTCAGGGTGGATTAGGACAGGTGCACAGTGGCCCCAGGGTGTGAAGTGCTGGGGTGTGGACACTGGGAGCAGCCCAGAGTTCAGGGAAGGGCCCGGTCTGGCATCGGGAACCCTGGGTTCTAGGCCCGGCTTTTCCAGCATGTGTGACCTTGGGAGATGACTGCTCCTCGCTGTGCCTCAGTTTCTTCATCAGAAGGATAATAGTGGTACCTCCCTGGGGATGGTGCTGAGGACAACACGAGTTAACACCCGTAACGCCCGTGCCATAGTGCTTAGTGTATACTGGGCATTTTGCAAATGCCATCACTTGCTGGTCCCAGGCCTCAGTTTTCTCATCTGTAAAATGGGAAGTGGACTACAGGGAAGGACCCTGAAGACCATGCAAGCTCTGTAACCTTATGACCCCACAGCAGGCCAGTGGGAGCCAAGGCCAACTTTTGTCTTTGTGGGGATTTTTTGAGGTCTGCTGGGGCTGGGTGCGGGATGGAGAGGTCAAAGTAGAGCCCACAGATGTGGAAGTATTCCCTTTGCCAACAGTGAGGAAAAGCCCCACACGGGTGGGCTGGCGGTTGCCTGTGGCCTGCAGAAGCCCCCGCCTTCCTTGTGATGTCTGCCCTGGGCTCCTCTTTTTGGGGTCGCCCATCAGGTTCTGCCCATAGGGCTCCAGAAGGAGACCCAGGGAGGGGAGGAGAAGGGCTTGCTGACGTCCCAGCTCCCTCCCTGCTGGGTCCCTCCTCTGAAGGCCACAGTGCCTGGGCGACAGCCCTCCCTGGGAACTGATAACCATCCACTGCTCTTTCAGGCAAAGGTGTGGTAGCCCTGGGACACCCCCGGATACTGCAGCCCCTCATGGGACTTTTTTCTAACACTCACGCTCACCTTTGTGTATAATCCCTTTATGCCACTCCCACTGGGTCCCTGATACAGTTAGAGGGTGAATTTGGAGAGGACCAGGGCAGAAAGGCACGCAGTGCACCCAGCGGGTAGGAAGCCGCCGAGGCAGGCTGGAGTCCAAACCCACAGCTGGAGCCCTGGCTCATCTCACGGGCCAGCTGAACTGGGCCGCAGGGCACCTGGGCTTTGGCCAAGTGTTCTTCAGTGTGTGTCTGTGGGGTGTCTCTGAGTGAGACCAACACGTGGATCAGGGGCTGCGTAAAGCAGACGGCCCTCCCTGGGTGTGGGTGGGTCTCATCCAATCAGTTGCAGACTTGATTCGCTCAAAAGGACGGAGTAAGAGGTAGCCCCTCTGGCCTGACTGCCTGCACCCAGACGCCAACCCTTTCCTGCCTTCAGACTGGGAGTGAACATTGGCTCTTCCTGGGACTAGAGCCCGCCAGCCTCCGGACTGGAGCCACAGCATGGGCCCTCCTGGGGCTCCAGCTTCCCAACGGCAGAGCCTGGAACTCGCCGGCCTCTGTCACTGTGTGAACCAGGCCCTCATCCTGAACCCCTCTCCATGCCTACGCTCATCCCACTGTTCTATGTCTCCGGAGAACTCTGCCGCCCCCGCCAGGAAGCGAGATGTCCCCTGAGGAGGGGGCTGTCCCGCTCCTCCAGCTCCCCACCGCTTCATGGGCACTCAACAGTCTGAAAGCGGGAGCCTGCTGCACCCCGTCCACGCAGCCCAGCCGTGGCCCACTCCTGTGATCCACCTGTCCACAAGCTAAGGAGGACTCAAGGGTCTGCTCAGGGCTTTGGCTTAAATGAGGCAGCAGCTCATGCCTGCACCGTGACAGATGGAGCTGCCGTTTCTGGGCCGCCATGTGCGCCTCTGCAGCGAGCAGGTGGTGCCGCGAGCCCCGGCCCTGTCCGTGGGTCACGGCTCACCTCGGGAGAAACCGCTGGGCTCCAGGGACTCTGGGCCAGGTGGTGGAACCATGCTGCTCGCTTAATGAGCTCACCGATGTCCTCATTAGGAGCAGCTAATGATGTGATGGGAGCATGGTGGCCAGTGGCCGCCCTGCAGCCCCCACCCTGGCCTTAAGGAGAGTGCCACACCTTCCTCTCTTCTCTAGCGCAGGCCCCTGCCGGGCCCCACTGCCCAGTCCCATCAGGGCCACCCTGTCAGCACACACCAGCACCTCCTCTCTGGTGGGCAGGCCCAAGAGGAAGCTCAGAGAAGAGACCTGGGAGGTTTTAAACCAGAATCAGACCTGCACGTAGGACAATTGAATTGTGGCTGAGGGTGGAGTTGCAGGGCGAGACCCCCGGGGTCTAGGTAAGCCCACCAGCGACACTCCGCATGACCTTAGCCAAACTGCTTAAGCTCCCTGCTGCCGCAGGCTCTTCGTATGTACAAAGGGGAGGATGGTCAACTGCCCCATGGCTGGTTGGAAGGCCTGCATGAAGTCACGTGTATGCAGTTTCTGGCCCCTAGCCAGCGCCCCGGCGGAGGCCGGCGTGCTTGGCATGAGTGTTGAGGGGGCGTCTCCTGCCCAGCGTCTTCCTCTTGCCAAGCAAGGGGCAGGTGAGGCTGAGGTTGCCCCCAGCTCGGGGGAGACCAGACGCTGACCCCGCGCCCAGGCCCTCACCGCCACCGACCCCGCTGAGGCCCCCACCGCCACTGACTCCGGTACCTGTGTGACTTTCTGTTTGCTGGGTGTTGGGTTCAAAGGCGGCTCCGTCACCAACACGGGGTGCTGCTCTGGGGCGACGTGGAGCACCTGGTAGAAGGAGTGATGCCAAATCTAGGAGGAGACAAGATGCAGTCAGCGGCTTCCTGGGGCCAAGGCCAGGCTTCTGCAAACGGAGCAGGGCACGGCTACAGGACCGGGCAGGGCTTCATGTTTTGTTATTTTATGTTATGTTATTTGTTTGACAAAGCAGTGTTTTATTTTTATTTTATTATTTCTATTTTTTGAGACAGTGTCTTGCTCTGTCATGCAGGCTGGAGTGCAGTGGTGCAATCTCAGCTCACTGCAACCTCCACCTCCCAGGTTGCAGTGATTCTCCTGCCTCAGCCTCCCGAGTAGCTGGGACTACAGGCGCCCGCCACCACGCCTGGCTAATTGTTGTGTTTATGGTAGAGACGGAGTTTTGCCATGTTGGCCAGGCTGGTCTTGAGCTCCTGACCTCAGGTGATCCACCCACGTCGGCCTCCCAAAGTGCTGGGATTACAGGTGTGAGCCACTGCGCCCGGCCGTCAAAGCAGCATTTTAAATAGCACTCGTGACGGCTGAGTGACAGCGAGGTCAACCTGATCTGAGGGAGGAGCAGGGAGACAGCTTCAGCAAGACGCAGAACCTCCGCTCAGTCACCGGGCCTGGGGCTAGGACATGGGGCTGAGACCAGTGAGGCCCGGAGATTGGCTAGAGCATCATGTGGTCTAATGAGGACAGATACCACCACCAGGACTTCAAGGGTGTGACACAGACTGGGACTCAGATGGGTGGATGCCGCACGGGGAGAGAGTGCAGGTGTGAGCCCAGCACGCACGGAAGCTCCACCACACACCAGGCCAGCCCTGGACAAGTGACCTGACTCTGTGAACCTCATTCCTCATGCTCCAAACAGGAAATGTTCCCTGCCTCACAGAGGAGTGTAACAGTGAAATCGTGACCTCGCCAAGAAGCCTGGAGCATTCATGTCCCACAGTTGCCATCACAAAGCTCCAGAGACGAGGTGCCACGCACCGCAGACACTCACTGTCTCCCATTCTGGAGGCTGGAGTCCCAGATGAAGGCGCTGCAGGGCTGGTTCCTCCCCAGGCCTCGCTCCTTGGCTTGCAGCAGGCACTGTCTTCTCCTGGCGGCGTCCTCACAGGGTCCCCCGCTGTGTGTCTGCATCTAACCTCTTCTTCTGATGAGGCCTCAATTACATTGGATTAGAGCCCACCCTAATGATCTCTTCTTAACCTAGTTGCCGCTTTAAAGCTGCTATCTCCAAGCACGGTCACACTCCGAGGCACTGGAGGCTAGCGTTTCACATGTAAACGTTGGGGACACAGTTCAGCCCCTCACATCCGGTACAGTAGGCTCAGCCCCTCACATCCGGTACAGTAGGCTCAGCCCCTCACATCCGGTACAGTAGGCTCAGCCCCTCACATCCGGTACAGTAGGCTCAGCCCCTCACATCCGGTACAGTAGGTCCAGCCCCTCATATCCGGTACAGTAGGGGCTCAGTACACCATGGTTGGTTACCAGGTGTGAGTCTGCTGCCTGTCCCCGTACGGGGACGTGCCCCTGGGGGAGGACAGTGTGGAGGGGCAGCCTCCTGCAGGCAGGCACAGAACCCGGAAGCATGAGGCCACGATCCCTATGAAAGAGCAAGAGCCAGGTGTCAGCGGCAGGTGTGGCCCATCCGCAGATGACCGGCCTGAGGCAGGGAAGGGACACAGCCAGACACGAGCTTGGAAGAGTCTTCTGAAGATGGGGCGAGGTGATGAGAGGGAGGAGGTGGGAGGTGTGGGCACAGCAGAGGGTCACTGCATGACACTGGCAATTCAGGGAAGATGGTGAAGCCAGGAGCCAGGACCCCTGAAGCCACACAGAAGTCAGTGCCTTGGGCTCCCTCAGGCAGGTGAGCCCCACCCAAGGCAGCAGAGGGTGGGGGGCCGCTGGGGCCCATAGCTGAAGCTGTGCTCTCTAAGACCTGTCTACACGGCCCGTGTTTCTGCATTCCCTGTCACACTGGGAGCCACAGCCACAGCTGTGCAGGAGAAAACACTTGTGAACAGTGCTCCCACTGCCCCCGCCAAGATGGCCCCAAGGCCCTCAGCCCCTGGAAGTCATGCCCTGTGCACACCTTTCCCACATGGAATCAGGACTGGCTTCTGTGACCAACAGAATGTGGCAGAAGTAACAGTGACCTGGTGCCTCCACTTTGGCCTTTTCCATAGTTTCCCATGGGGGAAACCAACCGCCAGGCTGGCAGGCCATCGAGCAGCTCTGGAGGGTGACCCCCGTGCAGAGGAAGCACCCCGCGGCCACCTGATACTGCCGCCTTGGAAGGGGCTCCTCCAGCCCCAGTCAAGCCTGCAGCCGACACAGCCCCTGAGCTGTGGCAGCCACTGGAGACCCCGAGCCCGAAGCAGCCTGAGGAGTCACTCCCAGATTCCTGACCCACAAAACTGAGAGAGATGACCACTGGCATTTTGAGACTCCACATTTGGGGCTAAATGTGTGAAGGCAGCATTAGAACATTGTGATGAGTTGAACTGTGTCGCACCAAAACTCATAGTTTGAAGTCTTAGCCCCCGTACGTCTGAATGGGACCTTATTTGGAAACAGGGTTGTTGCAGATGCCATCAGTTAACAGGAGGGTGGGTCCCCAATCCCACAGGAAGGAGGAAATGTGGAAACAGACACGGAGAACGCCACGTGAACCTGAAGGCAGACATCGGGGTGACACATCTGTGAGCCAAGGGGTGCCAAAGACTGACAGTCACCAGCAGGGAGGCCCAGGACATGCACGGCCCTGCAAGGAACCAGCTTGGCCCACGCCTTGACCTTAGACTTCCAGCCTCCAGGATGGTGGGGCAATGAATTCCTGCTGTTGAAGCTGCCTTGTCTGTGGCTGGAACAGGGACACAGTAACTAACAGGTACATCCTCTAAGGCAGTGCACGGCCTGTCCAAATGCACATGGAGGCCCTAGCCAGAACCTGTTACTAAGTGAGGGAGCTGCAAGTTCACCATACTTACCACTCTTTACTGTTGGGACTGAAGACTCTTTTGCTTTTTGTCTGTCTGCTTTGAGACAGGGTCTTCTTCCATCGCCCAGGCTGGAGCACAGGGGTGCAGTCACAGCTCACTGCAGCCTCCACCTCCCAGGCTCGAGCAATCCTCCCACCTCAGCCTCCCCAGTAGCTGGGATCACAGCGGCACACCACCACAGCCAGATTATTTTTTAATTTTTTGCAGACATGAGTTCTCACTCTGTTTCCCAGGTTGGACTCAAACTCCTGCACTCAAGCGGTCCACCTGCCTCAGCCTCCTAAAGTGCTGGGATTACAGCCACGAGCCATCGCGCCCAGCCAGGACTGAGGACTTTTTATCCATCATCCCCCTCAGCCCTCAGAGCAGAGTCTGGGTCAGGAAGGCCTGCACCCCCGTCTCATAGCTGGACATGGCAAGGGAGGCCTATGAACACGTCCTGCCTGGCAGAAGCTGTGCCCACCTTCTCCATGTTGTCCCAGTTGGTCATCGTTGCTCGAGAAATGGGATATTGCAGGATGAGTTTCCCTCGATTTTTCTGAACCTCCTCTCCAATGAACCAGTCTTCCTCTTCCATCCCCACCAATACGTTCTGAAAGACATAGGCAAGGACAGGTCAGCTTCTAGGGGTGACTGGGGTTGGACTCCCCTGCAGCTGGCTTTCATTTGTGGAGACCCAGTGAGCCGTGGCTGGGAGGCCACAGTGGCCTTCGTGGGAGACTCCAAGTCATAGCACCGGCATCCACGACCTCCCCAAGCCCTGTCAGCTGTTTCAGAAATGGCCGCTAAGAGGTTTTAGCAAAGTACCTGCAAGGTAAGAGTGCACCCGGGGAGTCGTTCCTAGGAACTTCATCCTGTCCAATTTGTAGATGAGGAAACTGGGGACAGCAAGGAGAGAGGCTGCTAAGGAAGGAGAGGTGTGGGGAGATGCACCAGGAATGCCACGGTACTGCTGGAGGGTCAAGTCGATGAAGCCCACTGGCAGGAATGCATTTCATAAGCTGACATCGTGGTAGGAGGGATCGTCACTGCTTCCATATTTGCTTTGGAAGGTTGACCGGGAAAGGGTCTGTGATGTAATTCAACTGCTGTTATTTTTTAGGAAGATAAACCTGGCTACTTTCATGGCAGATTAAGCTATCCATTCCATCATTCAGAGGTGATTTTACTTGATGGCCCATGTGTTCATCTGGGTCCACTGAGAAACAGACACCAGGATGGAATGAAAGGTGCAAGGATGTGATTAGGGAAGGCGCACACAAGGGGGACAGTGGGGTGAGAGCAGGATGAAGATGGACAAGACAACAGGCTGCTGTCCAAGTCTGAGCCTGGGTGCAGGAAACAGGGAAGCAGATTGGGTGGGTGACCTTAGCCACCATGGTGTCTAAGGGAAGGCTTTGCAAGGTTGTTGGAGAGTCCTTGAGTCAGGCTCATTTATCACAGGAGTGCTGGGTTTCCCAGAAATGGGCTTGACTTGCCTTGGTGTCACTGCCATCCTCCGTTGTTGGCTGGGAGCAGCAAGTAGGAAGGATGGCCTTAGTGCAATGGTGCTGTGCCACAGTGACATAATGGTGCCATGCTGCAATGACCTCATGGTGCCACGGTGCAATGGTGCATGCGGTGGAACCATGCCATGGTGCAGTGGGTCAGTGGTGCCATGATGCCGGGTGCAAGAGTGCAATGGTGCAGAGATGCAATGGAGCAGTGATTTCAGAGTGAGGCCCCCTCTCCAGGCTGCCACAGCTCACCTGCACAGAGCTTTTCTATCTTAGGAGTTTGTCTCTTCCGCAGAAGAGGTTTGGACTTGGGATGAGAATTACCAGCTATGAGACCTGGGGAAAGTTGTGTCCCTTCTCTGAGCCTCCATCTTCTCGGAGCCTCCATCTCCTTCTCTGAGCCTCCATTTCCTTCTCTGAGCCTCCCTCTTCTTCTCAGAGCCTCCATCTCCTTCTCCGAGCCGCCATCTTCTTCTCTGAGCCTCCATCTCCTTCTCTGAGCCTCTACCTCCTTCTCTGAGCCTCCATCTTCTTCTCTGAGCCTCCATCTCCTTCTTGTAGCCTCCATTTCCTTCTCTGAGCCTCTATCTCCTTCTCTAAGCCTCCATCTCCTTCTCTGAGCCTCTATCTCCTTCTCTGAGCCTCTATCTCCTTCTCGGAGCCTCCATCTCCTTCTCTGAGCCTCTATCTCCTTCTCTGAGCCTCCAACTTCTTCTCTGTCCAATGGGAACAATGACCTCTCTTCCTCACACCTCGCCATGGCGCTGCTGGAGGATCAAGTCGATTAAGCGCACCAGCAGGAATGCGTTTCATAAGCTGGCTTCATGGTAGGAGGGACTGTCACTGCGGCCACCTCCTCCAACGTTTCTCAGCCACCACATCTAAGTGCGGTGGGTGGGTGGTGGACAAAGTCATGGGTGTGCAGAAGGAACAATGTTTTTTCCGGTTCGAAGTTGCTGTTTGAAATAAAAAGATGGACAGTGCTGGGCCTGGTGTCCTTTCGTCAGGAGACCTGTGGGTTAGAGCGGCTGCTCTTCTCAGAAGGGACCCAATGACTTTGGGCAACGCCTTCATCCTGCCTCTCTGTTCTCACAAGTCCTCCTAGGAAGGGTCTCACTGCCGTCTTGGCTGCCAGACTCAAGCCCTGGAAGGGGCGTGGGGTTGGGGGAGCCCCGAGGGACACCCCGGGTCTCCGTGGCTGTGACTTCTTGACTTGGGAGTTAAGGGCACTGCGTCGAGCTTGTGGGAAGGGCCATGGAGCTTACATCTAGGACAAAAGGTGACCTCTCTCAGAGATAGAAACTTACTCCCATCTGCCCGTGAAAATAAATCCAGATCAAGAGCCAATCTGCTGTGGTTCCGCGGAGGAGTCTGCTGCTCCATAATTCATCTTGGTCACTCATTCTGTTTTGGCGAAGAATTTTCCTCTTGCTGTGATCTTGTGTTTCGCCATCTGGGTCAGCGTTCCCCAACCTTTTTGGCACCAGGGACCAGTTTCATGGAAGACAATTTTTGCACTGAGCAGGGCAGGGGATGGTTTTGGGATGATTCAAGTGTATTACATTTACTGTGTGCTTCATTTCTACTATTATTACATTGTAACATATAATGAAATAATTATATAACTCACCACAACATAGAATCAGTGGGATCCCTGAGCCTGTTTTCCTGCAACTAGGACAGTCTCATGTGGGGGTGATGGGAGACAATGACTGTGCCTACAGCCTAGCTGGGGTGGATTCAGAGCGGAAAGCCTCGCTCTCAGCAGACGCTCCCTAATGCACCCCCTCTAAGTCAATCATACTCCAAGGATAAGGCCCCTTCCCTGGAGCAGGGGCTGAGAGCTGAGATGAAATTCCACATTGTAACTGCAGTGGGTTGAATGATGCCCCCCCGCCCCCGCCACCATTATGTCCACCTGGAGTCTCAGGTGACCTTATCTGGATAAAGTGTCTTTGCAGAAGTGATAGTTAAGAATCTCAAGATGAGCATCACCTTGGATTACCTGGTGGGCCCCAAATCCAACGACAAGTGTCCTTCTAAGAGAGAGGCAGGAGGAGATTTGAGACAGAAAAGGAAAAAGAGAAGGAGGCCATGTGAAGACAGAGGCAGCCAAGGGATGCCTGGAGCCCCCAGGAGCTGGAAGAGGCAGGAAAGATCCCCTCGCTACAGCCTTGGGAGGAAGCCAGCCCTACTGACACCTTGCTTTCAGACTCCAGGTCCCAGAACTATAAGAAAATACATTTCTGTTTCTCTTTCTTTCTTTTTTTTTTAGATGAATTCTCACTCTGCCACCCAGGCTGGAGTGCAGTGGTGTGATCTCAGTTCACTGCAGCCTCTGCCTCCCAGGTTCAAGCGATTCTCCTGCCTCAGCCTCCAGAGTAGCTGGAATTACAGGTGCACACCACCACGCCCAGCTAATTTTTATATTTTTAGTAGAGACAGGGTTTTGCCATGTTGGCCAGGCTGGTCTCAAACTCCTGACCTCAGGTGATCCACCCACCTCAGCCTCCCAAAGTGCTGGGATTACAGGCATGACCCACTGTGCCTGGCTACATTTCTGTTGTTCTAAGCAAATACACAAATATGCTAGTCATTATTATCATCACTGCCATCGTTGTCATTGCTAAATCTTCCCCATGGGCCAGAAACTGCACCAAACATGCATTCACTCATCTCACTTAACCTTCAGGCTGAATCTATGAGATACATCTATGAGGACAATCATATTATGTAAAAGAGATGCCTCTGCCACAGCAGCACCCTTGCCCTGAGTCATGCATGTGCTGAGGACAGGACTGAGATTGGAGCCTCAGTCTCCCCGGCCCTGCAGCCCCAGCTCTTAACCACTGAGCACCACAATCTCCAAGCGGTAAGCTGGTTGTCTAGCTCGAGTGCAGGCGCCTGCGATTTGCCAGGGCGGTCCCTGCTATGATGCCTGCCACTTGGACAGCGAGGAGGAAATCCACTGGTTCCCAGGAGCCACGTGCATTTCATCCTCTTAGAGAGGGAGACGGGATTTTCTCCTCTGTCACAGCTCTGGGAGCCAGTGTATCTTGGATAATTAGAAACATTGCCAATAATTTGCTCCAAGCACTGCAAAACACAAGACTGATCGCCATGAGGTCCTGTGACACCGGAGATCTTCCGTGTCACGACGCTGCTCCCTGCCACGGATGACTGGACCTTCCGGAGGATGAGCTCCACGATCCAGAGCATGGGCTGGGAACGCAGGTGCACTGGGGGTCTTGTCACCACCACTTTGTCACCACGTGGATTCGAGAAGTCACCTCTCGGAGCAGGCGGTTCCTCTTCGGGGAGAAGGGGCATCTCCCTCCCTACCGGGAATGTGGCCAGGCTCAGGCCCGCTCGCCGAGTTTCGTTTACCGGGAATGTGGCCGGGCCCAGGCCCACTCGCCGAGTTTCGTTTACGATGCGACTGTGTTGTCCGGGGCAGGGGATGAGCAGCTGGTTTTTAATGGGGCCAGAGTTTCTGTTTGGGAGGATGAGAACGTTCTGGAGATAGATGGTGGTGAATGTTCTTGATGCCACTGAACTGTGCAGTTAACACATCTTTACATTGTGTATACTTTACCACAATAGAAACGCCTGCGTTTCTAAATTCCCTTGAAACGCAGGAAGATCTGGCAATGTGGGGTCCACTTGCTGGCATGTCAGAGACGGACCTCTTGGAGGGCCTGTGCCCCGGTCCCCACCCGCCCTCCTACTGCCTTCCTGTCACAGAGGCTGAGTGTCCGTTGCCGCTCACCCTAATGGACTCCCATTTATCCTAAAGGCGAATTGCTCCTTCCCTGCGTCCATACCTCTCCGAAGGTGGGAAGAGCCAGAGACGGGAGACGGGCAGTAAGACTGACTTTTCACAACGTGTCCACTTTACTGATTTACACATCACTGCTCCCTCTAAGCCTGTGGTTCTCAGAGCGGGCCGCATGCTGGGAGTCGTGAGAGGGGCAAGGCCTTTCCCACCCCATCCCCAACCCCGGACCCGCTGAGGCAGAGGCTCTAGGTGGCCCGGCCATCTGTGTGGTACCAAGCCTGGTGCTCCCGACTTGGATTCGTGGAGGCACGTTCGTGCCCACCACGCCCTGCTCAGGGGATTGCCTTGGTCACCCTGTGGGAGAGGCGATGGGACTGACCGGGCCGGCAGGCCACCTCTGGATGAGCAGCACCCCACAGGGAGGAGACCGCAACATCACTCACATCGTGCCGAAGTTTCCCGAGGACAGTGGGGAACACGCCCATTGGGCTTTCCATTCCTGCGAATCCCACCTTGCTGAAGCCAGAGCCGTAGTCACAGATGAGGGGCACACTGTCCATGGCGGTGAGGCTGTGGAAGAGAACACGCGGTTACCCACGCCACTGCATGGCACTGGTTCCCGGGGCAGGCGCTGTGCTGGGCGTTAGGATCAGGGTTCATAGCGCCTGGGAGCCCAGGGCAGTGTGGGTGGCCCCCCACACCCAGAGCTGGGCCCTGAGCAGGCAAGAGCCACTTCCAGGATGCTGTGTGCAGTTTGCTGGAAGGGGGTCCTTTCCGATGACCATTTGCACATGGCTGCCCTGGAGAAGGGAGGATTAGGAGGGGCCCTGCACTAAGGCTTTGGCCTCCACCTGTTTCTAGCAAACTCTGTGACCTGTTTCGCAGCCACTTCTCTGAAGCAGCCCTTCTCCCCTTCGTGGGAGGGGAGACCCCAAGAGGAGCTGGGCCCTGGGTGGTCTGCAAGCTGTGGTCCCAGCCAGATTCCTGACTTCCAGCTTCAACGCCACCTCATCCGGGAGGCTTCACTGGCCTCCGGCCCTGGTTGAAACCATTCTCTCCCTCTGCTTTGCTTCCAGAGAACATTTTCCATGTTTTTGCAAGTTTAGAAAACATGCAGAAAGATACAGAACATCAGAATCACCTGAGGTCCCCGCCCGTGGTCACCCCTCTGATATTTTGGCATTTCTGTTTTCAACCTACTTTTTCTTAGACAAAGTCTCACTCTGTCACCCAGGCTGGAGTGCAGTGGCATGATCTTGGCTCACTGTAACCTCTGCCTCTCAAGTTTAAGGGATTCTCCTGCCTCAGCCTCCTGAGTAGCTGGGATTACAAGTGTGAGCCACCACACTGGGACAATTTCTTGTATTTTTAGCAGAGACAGGGTTTCACCATGTTGACCAGCCTGGTCTCAAACTCCTGACCTCAGGTGATCCGCCCACCTCGGCCTCCCAAAGTTCCAGGATTACAGGCGTGAGTCACTGTGCCCAGCCTGTTTTCAACCTACTTTTATGCAGTGTATAGGTTTTTTAAAAATCGACTACCCTCAAAAATGAATGAGTCAATTTTCTTTTTTGAATATTGCATTGTGACTAAATATTTGTCATGACAAATGTTTTCTTCATTTTATAAGTGACTTTTGGATCTTTTTTCAATAAAGAAAGAATACAGGCTCATTGTAGAAAATAAGAGAAAACCGTGAAGAGAAAACCGTGAAGTAAAAACCCTTTCCAAATCCTGCTAATCAGAGGTAACCTTTGTCAATATTCAGCTATCTACCCTGATAGTCGGCACAGAAAACAGAGAGGTCTCCCTTCATCTAGTGCCTCTGTGAACAGCTGTATGAGGTGCAACTCAGTGGGGCACCAGGGCGTCTCTCACTAAGTTGCTAAGGTATACACACTTACATATATTACAGTATATGTGGTTTTCTGTTAGACTTTTCAGTGGAACCTTATAGCCATTTGCGTGTTATGGAGTATTCGATGGAAATGTTTTCCTTCTAATGTCATCTGCCACACCTGCTATGAATCCTCTGTGGAGCCTGTAGGTCCTATTTTTTTTTTGGCACCATCAGCAACCCTGGGATAATCTCCTTCATCATCCGTCTTTTTCCTGCATTTTGGATCAGCCCCTTTCCATCACCTCCTTCGAATGACTAGTTGGAAGAGCAAGAATTTTTAAAGGCTCCTTAAACATTTTGCCAAATTGCTGTCCAGAAACATCGGTCAGTTTGCCGCAGCCACGTCAGGCCCTCGTCACATGGAACTGCCGTCATCTCTGCAGGCCCCTGTCCCACTTCTCCACGTCAGGCCCACACTCCCCCTCTGAGTACCGCATACTCAGCTGATATGGCTGGATGGCTTTTGAACCCACCTGGTCTCTCATGTGGGGGGCTTCATAACCTTCCTCTCTGGAATATCTGCTGGTGTCCCGTCTGTCTGCATGCTGACTGCGTATCTGCAGCCAGCCTGTTACTTCTGGAAGGCCAGGCATCGGCTGCCTAGTCATTTCTGTTCATCCTCGACATGCAGGGATGGAAGAGGCTTTGGTTACTACAGTTTTGTAGTATATTTTGAAGTGTTATAATGCCAGCTTTGTGCTTTTGCTCAGGATTGTTTTGGCTATTCGGAGTTTTTTCTGGTTCTGTACAAAGTTAAACATTTTTGTAATTCAGTGAAGAATGTCCTTGGTATTTTGGTAGGGGTTGTGTTTAATCTGTAGATTACTTTAGGTACTATGATCATTTTAACAATATTTTTGGATCCATGAGTATGGGATGTCATTCCATTTGTTTTTCTCCTCTTCAGTTTTTTGTCAGTCACTTCTTAAATTTATTCCTAGGTATTTCATTTTCTGTAGCTATTATAAATGGCATTATCTTCTTGATTTCCCTTTTAGCTATTTCATTGTTCATGTATAGCAACGCTACTGATCTTATATGTTAATTTTTTATCTTTACTAAATTCATTCATCAATTCTAAAAGATTTTTGGTAGCATCTTTAGGATTTTCTATATATAAGATCATATGGTCTGCAAATAAGAATAATTTGACTTTTTACTTTCTAATTTGCAACAGAGCCTGAAACATGAGGGGCACTTGACAGCACAGGAAACCCTTGGGTGCATTTCCTGGCCTGACCCTTACTGTGGTGACAGGTGTGATGGCCTCAATGACGTTGATGATAGATAGTGATGATGATGACAATGATGACGATGGCTATGACAATGATGATGACAACAATGGCGATGATGATGATGGCATAATGACAATGATGACAATGATGATGATGACTATGACAATGATGATGACATTGACAATGATGACAACAATGATGATGATGTCAATGATGATAACAGTAATGACAGCAATGACAATGATGATGATGAAAAAATGATAACAATGACAATGATGACTATGACAATGATGGTGATGATGACATTGACAATGATGACAATAACAATGATGATGTCAATAACAGTAATGGCAACAATGACAATGATGATGAAAATAACAATGACAATTATGATGATGACTATGACAATGATGACAATGATGACATTGAGAATGATGACAATGACAATGATGATGACAATGATGACATTGATGATAATGACAATGATGACAATGATGATGACACTGATAATGATGATAATAACAATGACAGTGACGATGACGATGATGATGGATTGTCTTGATGTGCAAGGCATTTCCCCCACGTAAATCAGCAAATAGCCACTGTGGGAGCAGACATCCAAATACCTTGCTCTTTCTACCAAGTGCTATGCATTTGGGACACAGAAATAAATTAATTCCAGGGCTGGTCAAGCTGTTTTCATTTTTTCTTTGGTACAATAGCATTTACATTCAGGGAAATTAGCCCTGATGTCAAAAACGTGGTTTTTCCTTTGCTTTGTTTTAAATCATCTGATGTTGGCTTCCACTCCCACAGAAGGAGGGAAATGAGGCCATGAGTAATTGCACTGCTCTCCTGAGCCAAAATATTTTCATCTGGGGAGTGTTGAGTGGAATAAAAACTGGTTCAGCGCAGGGAAGGCTTTTGCCTCCAACGGGCTGAATCCCTGAGCTTGCCCCAGAATGATGTGGCCAACCAAGCAGCATGTTTCTACTTTACTCCAAATCCTCATTGCTCTGAAACTTACTTGTGAATCCACATATTGACTATCAATGCACAGAAGTAAAAATCTGAAGAAAGCATAACAGAAATTGGGAGAGGCCAGCTGCAGTGGCTCACACCTATAATTCTAGCACTTCAGGAGGCCAAGGCAGGAGGATTGCCTGAGCCCAGGAGTTCGAAACCAGCCTGGGCAACATAGAAAGACCCCATGTCTACAAAAAATTTAAAAATTAGTCAGGCATGGTGGTGGCACACATCTGTAGTCCCAGCTACTTGAGAGGCAGAGGCAGGAGGATTGCTCGAGCACAGTTCGAGGCTGCTGTGAGCCAACATCGCACCACTGCACTCCAGCCTGGGCAACAGAGCAAAACCCTGTCTCTAAAAAAAAAAAGAAAGAAAGAAAAAGAAACCAGAAAAGACTGTTCAACTACTGAGAAAAGAAACTGTTGGTTCACATCACTGACATGCAAAAGGAAGGGAAAGAAGGCATTGCCCTGTTTTAGGTGCTGTCCTGGGCACATAACTAATACCAGGGAGAGAACTGGTGACAAACAGGTGCAGAGAGGTAAGAGGTGGAGCCCACCCATAGTCCAGGCAGGGTCCCTCTGTGTCATTGCTCTGCATGATGCCACTATGAGGTGCCTAGTAGATGTCATGGCCTCTTGACCTAGTTGGGGCTTCTGGAAGCTGGCCCAGCAGCCTCCTAGAGTCTCTACGTCTCTTTCCACTCTAATCCTGCTCCAGTCTTAAGATTTGGATGAGGTGGGCCCTGAGGGCTCACAGGACCCATGCTGACCATTAAGATTATTCCACTTCTTGGCTACTGCAGTTGGCTAAATAATGGTCCCTGTCCTCCTGCCACATCCTAGTGTCCAGAACCTGTGTATATGTGACCTTCCATGGCAAAAGGGACTTTGCAGGTATAGTTAAGTTATAGATCTTGAGATGAGGAGATTGCCCTGGATCATCTGGCTGCACACCAGATAATCACGAGGGTCCTTATAAGAGGAAGCGGGAGGTCAGAGTCAGAGAGATTGGAAGATTATACACTCCTGGCTTGGAAGACGGAGAAGTGGCAGCGAGTCAAGGCATGTAAGCACCTCCAGGAGCTAGAAAGAGCAAAGAAATAGGTTCTCCCAGTTCCTAGAGCCCCCCAGAGGTAAAATGGCCCTGCAGACACCTTGATTTTGACCCAGTGAAACCCATTTCAGATTTCTGACCTCCAAACTGTCAGAATACATTTCAATTGTCTTAGGTCAAAGTTTGTGTTGATTTGTGACGGCTACCCTTGACCAGGGTGGGCATGTGATGCCAGCCATGGTTTCTTCCTGGGATCTTGGTCAACTCTCAGGAAGGATACTCTCTTCCCTTGGATTCAGGATCTGGGAGAACCTGAAGTGAGCCTGGAGTTGCCCTGCAGCTG